ATATATATATATATATATTGCGTAAATACAATGGAATTATTTGTCGCTTCTGATAAACAGTTAAAAAAGTTATTTGATAAGATTTGATAAAACTCATCACAGTAATTGTTCGAATTATTATCGCGAAACTGTGTAGCTACGAATGTGGATAAATTTTTATATCAGGATTGATTAGAAAACATTGATGATATGATCGATTATCGGATGATTCGGAGCCATTAAACTTGAGATTAAAATCATTGTAATTAAAATATTATTTTTTAAAATAATATACAACAAATAAGAAACAAATTTTACTTTTCCGTAAGACGTTTTTATTTTATTTATTTTGCATTTCATTTTTTGTTTTTTGTGTTTTTTTTCTTTTTAAAGGCGCATGACGTACGATCTTTTTTCTTGTCGCCAATTATTATGAATTTAAAAACTTAAGTAATATAAATAAGAAGTAATTTTTAATTTTACACAAAAGTTTTTATTGTATTTAATATTTAATATTTTGTATTAAAAAATACAACATATAAGACGTATAACTTTCAGATTAACACAAATTTGAAGAACAATGAAATAAATAGAAAACTCTATTTCCTAATAAATAAGAAACAAATTTTTATACAAAATTTTTTCTTTCTCCCTTTTTTTATTTTAATTTATTTTTATTTTGTATTAAGAAACATAAGACACTTTTCTTGTTACAATTTATTGCAAATTTAAAGCCACATATAATAAATACATATTTCATTTTTACGTAAAAGTTTTTCCACTTCATTTATTCAGTTTAATTTATTTTCATTTCATATTAAGAAAGATTATTTCCTTGCTACAGATCATAACAAATGACTTTATCAAATAGTAGTACATATCGCATAGGGTTCACTTCTTCGCGGGTGCCAGAAAACTCGAGTGACGATACTGCAGTACATATAACCGAACAGCCATCGGCATTGTTGACGACAGCCGTTGCTCGGATCTGTGTTCTGTCATATGCACGCCGCTCGTTGCAGTCGTTGTTGATCCAATTTGACGGTGTTTCTCGCGTCGATTGCGTACATTTTGCACGGGTAACGATTCAGCATGGGTAATTGTTGCGCGACCTGTTACAACGGATCGTCGTCATATGAGGATCTCACTCCTGATCGGGTGTGTCTTCCGTATAGGTTATAAACGCGCACATAAATATTGTTAATCCATCACCTGCGTGATAAACGAAATCATTAAATCATCACAAAACATTCTCTTTGTCTTCGTTTTTGTTTCTTTCCATAACAAGTTTTGGTCGTTCAAAATTATTTCTTTCGGAAATTATTATTTCTTTCGGAAATTATTATTATTTCTCCGTTATTTTTCTCGTTTTTCCGTTGCGTTATAAAACTGCTCTGCAATATTTTGGACGTGAGTCCAAATGTCCTTTTTAGCTTGCACGATTCATCTTTCCTCTTTTTTTCTTTCCACGTTGAAGAAAAAAATAGTAAAGAATGAATTGTGCAAAAAGAATTTCATTTAAAGAGAATAAACCTATGCCTTTTCTCCTCAGGAAACTATACGTAGAAAACAGGCAGAAGCAGCTGAAAAAAGGATAGCCGAGCAACAGCAACGGGGCATAAAGGATATAGAATCTGTCAAGAGACAGCAACGACGAGCGATGGAACTCGAGAAGCGAGAACAGGAAGCTTCTACTAGTAGCACACAACCTGCGCTACGAGTAAGAATATAATTAATTGTAATTTCACTGTTTAAATATATACTTGAATAAGATTTCATATAGCTTGATGTATCTGTTTTAGTGGCAGGTAAACTGAAAGGAGAAAACATGCTGTGGTTCAACGAGAGAATGAACTATACATTTTCTTATTCGAAAAGTATTAAGTATTCTATAGAACACTTGGCTGACCAAAATGAGGCAGACCTAATATCACCAACGATACTGTTATAGTCACACAAGTGCAATCTTATTTTATATAACTTATATAGAATTATGGGAATAAGCTTTGAGTCTTTTAATTTAATAAAATACATCAGCTGAAATCGAACAATTGATATAAAGTTCGTTCTCAGCTGATGTATATTTTTTATATTTTATATGAAAGTTTATATATGTAATATATATATATAATTATGCATGCTCTAAAATACGACACTGCTATAAACGTTAAAATTTTGTTTTTGCTTTAATCTACTAAAAGGTTTTATTTTAAATGTAATACATTTATATGTATATATTTTCATATATTATACATATAAATGTATTACTTTTAAAATAGAATCACAAATATGAGAGTTATCATTAAAAATAAATTTTGAATGATGAATATGAAAATAGTTAAGAACCTCGTTATGCATATTGTTAATATTTCTTTAATTTAAATATCAATTTTGTGATTGCAAATTTCAAATTTACGATCTACATAGTGCCTACACTTAAAAAATGTATATCGAGAAATAAGACTAAAAGTGCATCGTTTGTCGTATATATAATCTCTTACATATGCAAGTTTGTATTTATTAAAATATAAATTTAATATCTGTAATATTCAATAATTATGTGATATAAAAGTAATTTAAATTAAACTCTGATAATATATTTATATCTCTATATATTATATGTATAATGTATATATAATGTATTTGAGTAATACAAAATATACACTTATTAATATTATATTATTACATTTTATATTATAATATATCTAGTATTATATGAAATAGTAATACATGTAAATGTACAAATGTAATA